ATCATTTCCCCAACTTAGTTGTACTTAACACTGTGACTTGCAGAGTTGGGTACTCGATAACTTTACTGCATTATTGATTGAAAAGGGCCTACAGTGGGGTAGGGGCAATTAGTGGACACTTCCCACTTGAAGAATATTGTGAATTTAGCAAAAGAGCTGCTTCCCAGAAAATTGGTTATGCCTTTCAATTTTTCTTTCTTTAGTGACTCTCAGATGAATGAATTACTATCCTCCTGGTCATATGTGAAAAATTTGACCTGTTTGCTTCTTACAGGATGCTATTACTATTGTCAGGGCAAAGAAAGTTGAGTGGTCCATGACTATGATTATGTCTTGCCAATTTTTAAGCAGGGATATTTAATAACCTACTGAAGGAGGTCAGAAGTTAAAAATATCCCAAGTGTTACTTTTTTCACATGGACTACATAATTCCAAAGAGGAAAATGTAGATCCCACTGTATAGAGACATACTCTTCCTCTGTGGGGTCTAACGATAGGGGTCTAAAGAAGAAAACTTGAATGTAGGCTTGGCTAGTGGACTGAACGAGAGTGGGGTGGACATGAGGCTAGAGGTTTCAACAAGGTCAAAGATAAGGTGTAGTCCCGGGACCAGGAAGCTGGAATGTTAGGAGAGTTGGAAAAACCTGCGAGCTTCACCTAATCTCAAGGGGCTGTTGCGAAGGCTGAATGAGATCACGGACGCGGAGCAGAGCATCAGCCTCGGTCTCCAGCTAGGAGCCTGGTTTCAATCGCTTCTCTGCCTCTTCTTGGCTGAGTGATCTTGCAAAAGTGACTTATGTTAGCTGAATCTGAATTGCCTCATCAGTGAGTTGTGCAGGTAAAATGAGATAGTAGATGAAATGTACTTTTTGCATAGTAAGAACTCAGGTGTTAGTTATTATTATTCATTACTTTTATTACCTCAGGTCCTCTTATTTATTTATTTTCACCCCCAATATGTTCCATTCTCCTTCCCTATTTTATTTTTTTTTCTGTAGAACTTAGGCTGTAAATTTTACTTGTTTATCTTTTTACTTTTGATTCTCCACATTAAAATGTAAGCTCCATGGTGACAGGGAATTTTTCCTGTTTTGTTCCCTACAGGGGAGTGCCTAGGACAGTGCTGGCACACAGTAGTACTCACTAAATATTTGTTGAATGAAAGAATCATTGTATAGGAGTATAGGAAGGGGGACACATGGTTAGTTCTGAGATAGAAAAAATGACACTTGTCAGTAGGGACCATTTCCAAGATGTGGCCAGAGGTGTGGGTTAATGAGTGGAGGGAAAGTTTATTGGAACTGAAGAAGTCAAGAGGCCCTGGAGCGAGGGTGTTGGGTGGATCATCCCCATCGAATCTATGACACAAAATGAAGCTAGGGAGTGAGGTGGACAAGAGGGTGAAAAGGGGCTGCCAGCATCCCTAAGCCTGTAGATGAATGCAGAGGAATGCTCCGTAGTCAGTGGTGGACGGCCGTAAGTAAAAGGCAGGATGAGCAGATGGCTGCTTTACATTATTGGGAGTGGGAGTTGGAAGTAGCAATGGGGAGTTGGGAGAACTCGTAGTCCCATGACATAGGGCCCACAGAAGACTGAGGAGCTTTCCGTGGAGAGAGCTAGAGGAGAAGAGATGGCCCCTGGAGAGAGCTGGGATGCAGTTAAGGAAACAGGTGGGCGAGTGTGGCAGAGAGCCTGGGAATGCAGAGAAGGGTGTTGCTAAGGACATGACAGTCCCACAGGTTGGTGGGGGTGAGACTAGTAAACGGGAGCACGGAGCTGTCTTGAGAGGAGAGTGCGAGTGGCTGTATGCACAGAGGAGAGGTGACACTCAAGAATGTATGGCTGTAGGTCGTCTTTTTTTCCATTACCAGATACAAGATGATTTTGTAGTTAAATAAGTTAAACAAAGATAGGGACAGCACATTTCTGGAAGCATCTTGATGTTCAAATGCTCTACAGAATTATTCAAATATCTAACAGTCACATCTTCTACTTGTTATGGAAATATCTTTCCCTTCCTTCCATCTCAGAAGAATACTTGATAGTTTCAGTTGGATATACTCCTGGATGAATGAATTTAAACAGTTACCACCTCTCGTAACCTTCACCATTTTTTTTCAGCTGAACTTAAATAGGTTAAAATTTCAGTGAATTTTTAAAAGATGAAATTGTTTATAAAAGTAAACCATTAAGACAAGCTTTGGAACTCTTCTGAGTTAGAACTATCATCTAATGCTTTTCTATCTCTCTTGTTAAGTTAAATTTGGAGGTGTGAAGCATCTCAAGTTATCTCCAAATAAGTTCATAAGGCAAAGTTCATTAGTGAGTTAGCTGATTGGTCAGTGACTCAAACACTCACTGGGTAACCACAATGCCTAGAGAACTGTAAGAACAAAGCAATGGATAAGACAGGCTAAGGTTTTGAACATGATAGAAACACTATTTAGATGCCAACAAATAATAATTTCAAAGCTATTTGGAACAAGTGAATATTTTGAGCTGGGAATCTTTCTTCCTCTTCTGCATTCCCTGAATAAAGAATTGAAGATAAAGATAATTAACATTAATAATAACAAATGTGGGTAAAGCCAGAGTGCCCTAGAAGAATATACTAAAAGTGCTACTCAATAAAACATGTTGAATGACAGTCTTTTGGGAGTTTAAAATTTGGGTAGGGGCACTATTCTCAAGGCATTTTAACATGTCACTGTTTCTATGCCATTTTATCATCACAGCAGAAAATTTAAAAATCATTCCAGGTTGCACTAGCTAAAACTACCTGAGACGAATGTACATAAATGATGAAAACAAAGTTTTCCATTCTTAAAATGTAGCCATCCTTATGTCATTTTAGTTCCGGGGGTAAGGTGTCATTTTTAGTTTCTCTTAAGTCTTCTCTTGAAGTTCACTGTAACGTATTTTCATCTGCATGAGCGTTTCTTGATGAGAAGACTAGGGACACATTTATGAAACAGCTGCTCCTATAGTCCCTTAAGAAGCCTTGCCTATACTTTCCAGCCTTGAGCAAAGTCCAAGATGAAGCTAACACAGAACTAGAGATTCCAATTAATTTCTATTCAACCTCTTTCTTGTATGACTTCTCTTGGCTTAAATTGAGATGCTTAAGGAATTTGGATCTTACTAATTAAAATGGCAATGTTACCAACTTTAGATACCCCAAAATCTACTAACAAATATTTTCTTTTCCTAAAAAGAAAAAAAGGGGTTCACATTGTTATTTCATATGTTTATTAATACTTATATTTGATTGATGATGTGAATTTTAAAAACAAACAAACCAACAACCAAAAGTTCTCTTTAGATTGGTATCTTCAGAAAAAGTCTACCTCTCTCTGTTTAAAGAAATCCAAACCAAAACACAAGCAAAGCAACCAACAGATACTCTAAAGCCAAAACAAACCACACCAACAAAAAATTATGAAATATATTTTTTGGAGCCCCAGATGTTACTTGAAGGTTGCCGGTAGCATATGGCTTAATTTCCTGGTTAAAGCAGGGTAAACTACAACTTCTACTGTGGCCAGACTGAACCAGAGAAAGAGCCTTTATGTATGCAGGTATTGGCTATAAGTCAGGATCACCAACCTATTCAACTGTAGCTTCTGCTCTGAGTTGTGCTGATCAGTAAAAAGACACCTGGGCACTTTTTAATTCCATCTGATTCGAAGAGAAAGTTTAGCAGGTCATAAATTTGTGGATTTTGCATCTTGGTTATCACAAAATTAATGGCCCGAGGCAACGAAGGTTTCCGACATCACGTGGAAAATATGCATCTTCCCTTAAAGGCTGCCTATCCACCTGTTCTCTGCCTGACCCAGGATAGACATCAAGTATTTGGGAAGCTTTAAATCATACAATATTTCCTGCTGCTACCCAAGCTACTCCAAGCTAAGGACTTCCATCTCTGGGACCACCTTGCAAGGAAAAGTCACTGTTAAGAGAAAAAAGCCACACCACAAAAACTACTTCAAAATCTGTATCAGTCATTCTGATTTTTTTACAATTGTGCTAAAACACACACTTAAGAAAGTTCTTTTTGTTGTCATGAAATATAAAACGTTCAATATTTAGTTTCAATTCTAGAGTAGAATATCTTTTGGCCAACTTTTTATCCCAAGATAAACTTAGCTATTTAAAATCGTAGAAAGCAGAGTTTTAAGTGATATGTGTAAGATAGTCCATTAATTAAGTTGAACTACTTAATTTTTCCTATACAATAGTTTAAACAGGCCATTTTATCAAATGCCTGGCCTGTTAAAATGATTTAGAATTTAAATATAAAACAGAAGAATGCTAATCCTTAATACAGAATATAACAAATTATCCAACATTGAGGTTAGATACCTGACATTATATTTATGTATATTTTCTTTCATCTTCTAAAACGGCAAGTCCAGTGGTAGCTGTACATTTTACTAGTCATTCCAGTTTCAATTTCCATTTCAGAAGATGTAAATAGAACTTACTAAAATACTTTTTTTCTTTTCCTCACTTTTCTGACCTCCCATGCAGCATTCCTTGTCATAAGAATATTTACACATTTACATTTTACAATAATGGATGTTGTATCTGAAATATTAATTATCCAAAGCAAAGTTAAATTCCAATTCCAACCAAAAATGTCCTTATATTTGTTGCATTGCATTTGCAAAAGAGTTAAGAAAGAGCCCTGGTTGACAGAGTTAAGTTCCTTGCCCAAAAAAGGTGTTTGTTTTTTTTCAATTTAACACAGTTAATTAAGTAACCAATATTAACTGCAAATTAGCTTTAATTTTTTAATATGAAAAAATCGAAGATCCCATAAAAACCAAATTCATGGAATATTTTCTTTAGTATTTAATATTTTCGAAGTAGCCATAGCATTTTTATATAGAAAGTGAGCCCAGGTCTTTTGAAGAGAATTGGGATTTAAAAATGTGAATGGGGAAAAGGCACGAGGGGAGGATAAATTAGAATCTGGTATGCTATGCACTACTTACCTTCAAAAGTCAAATAAAACTTTCCTCTGTCAAACCAAACGAGGGAAGGCTGTTCATTCTCTGCATGGCCAGGAGTTGAAGCGGGATGGGAAAGGTTAAGGAGAGGGAGAGAGAAGGACACAGTATGAGTTACAGAGCAGGTCATTAATCTCACTAGGGGGGAGGGCAGAGGCACTGCATGCCGTTAGCGTGCAGGAAAAAGGGAAGGCTGGCAATCTATTATTATTGTTATTTTGTTTTCAGTTCGGGAAACAGAAAGCAAAAGCAAAGCTATGGAGGCCTAAAGGGATGGGCACGTGTTGCTGGTAGCTTGGTACTCGGTGCTGGTGCGCATGGAGCAGAAGTCTTCCTGGCCATGCAGGGGCGTCAGCATATTTTAACTGCACTAGTTTGGCCAAACTGTCATTCAGCAATTGCTGTATTTATTTCATCTTCAATGTCATCCCCTTCTATGTTTTCAAAAAGATAAACTCGGAGTTATAGGTTATATAAAACTTAGCTGAGGTTTTCAATGACAACAGCATTGCATATCAACTGAAAGTTCATGGAAGATGTCATACTTCTTCCATCCCCTCCCCTGGAATCACCTTAGGCATCCAGACACAAAACACCCTTTACCTACGTACCAAAGAAAAAACAAGATTACTAACGGTGCTCTACTATATTTTTAATTAAAAAGCCGTCACTGGACACGTAATTCTGAGCAGTTAAATTATTCCTCCTCCTGTAAATTCACAAAGCAATAGCATCTCACCTTTTTGGAACCTTTTCACTGAGAAACTGTCATGCAACCTGCGGCTTTATAAAATGTTCACTCAAAAAACATTTCAGTGGCATGAGTTCCACGATGAACAGTAAATAGACGGTGCATCTGATCGGCACTGGCCACTCATGAGGCGAGGAGCATGTCCATGAAGTTGAGCATTCAGATGGCATAAGGGCTTGGATTTTTAAAGTCTAGATATCTAGAGATCACTCGGCTAGCACCATACCTGCAGGCGTTTCACAGCGCCTTTCAAACGAGGGCAGTTTGTCATAAAAAACATCATCTTCTGACACTACGAACCAAAGAAATATAAAGGAATGGAAAACAAAAACACAAATACAAATCTCAAATGAAATCAAGCAACACACTTTACTGATCGAAACACAGGAATGATTTTAATGGAAAAGGAAACAAAACCTAAGACACTGAGATTATGGAAAGGGTATAAAAAAGTGATGTGCTTATTTCATGATGAGCCTATGAGAAGAAATGGAAATCTAAAAAATGCCAGATGTTAGCATCTGTGAATTCACTGAAGTCAGCTCCATGGAAAAAATCACACCCCCACCTTTTCAGGGAGTTGTTAAAAGCACTATCATTAATAATTGACTCGTGCAGGTGTATTTCACTCAGACACAATTCTCAAGTGGCTGGACATATATCCATCAACAGAACCTCCGGACAGAGCGCTGACAGCTCAATGGGATCACCCAGCATGCACCTTCCTCCCCATGGGGAAAGAGGAAGCTTTTAATGAGACCATAAAAATGCAACAGTATGAATCTGAGGTCCCTGAATGAAGTATCCCATTTCAACTTCATAATATCCAAATTCAATTTGCCTTGCACTGTACTTGGTAGTTATGGATTGTTAATTTTGAACAGCATTATTGTAATTCCATCTTTGGCTATGGTATCAGGCATGGCCAAATGTCTTTGTAAACTGGTCACAACAGTTGCTCTGAATCCCAACCGTTCTGGATCTCTGTACACGGTCTCCCTCCTCACCAACAAACAAATGTAGACAATTGAAGTTTTATTCTATGTGATTTAGATCAATCAGTGCCACAGGTCTGAAGGGTATTATTCTAACTTTAATAGAAAATTGAATAAATTCTGTACAAAGACCGGTAAGGGAGAATCTTCCCTAGAACACAGAGAAGTAAGATAAGGAAATGAATGAGGGTAGTAAAATTATTTCAAAAACTCTGCTTCTTGGAAAATATTCTACTAGCTTGCCTCCTTAGACTTAGTGAATAAGGCAGGGAAACTATTTCTTTGTCAGTTCTTAAGGCTCTAGGATAGCACCTGTCAATCAGCTTTTAATATACATGTGGCTTCCTTGGTGGCTAGAATAAGAGAATGCAACTCCTATAATATCTGTAGGAGAGGAAAAAGAACTGGCCCTAAGAAGGATACCCCATAATATCTCCAGAAAATAGGACACAAAAAAGTTACATTGGCAGAAACTGAATGTAACAGTGCCTTTTCATACCTATTAGTGGGGAATGGTGGAGAACATTCCTTTCTTTTGAAGAACTAATTTTCTGTTTACAATCTCCTTAAAATGAGGAGCCTCCAATACTGTCATTTGTTCTTTGAGCCGAAGTTACAAAAGAATGGTTCGTAAGGGTTGAACAGGGTGGCTATCATTTTTTATTGTGGTTGTAGACATTGAGCGCTTAGAAGAAAACATACTAAATACATCAGAGAACTTAAAAAATGGGTGGTTGCACAGCTCTGTGCTTAATTTAAATAAGGGCAACACTCAAATCAAGTACAGAAGAAAAATTTCCTTAAGAACTAACCATGGAAATTGCCTCAGATTGATCTGAGATAGGGAAGTCAGTACTGGAGACAGGCTTTTCAAAAAAAAAAGGCAGAAGGAAAAAAATACTAAAGTGTGAGAATTTAAAATTGGGATCAAGAATATCCACCTCCAAAGGTCTTTCTTTTTGTCCAGAATAATTGATGTTAATATAGTTATGTTTTTTAAAAAGCTTATCTAAGTCAGAATTGCCACCCAGCTTAGAGAGACAAAGACTTGGAGGAAATATTTTAAGTTTTAAATGCTATGACTAATATTCCTGTACTGAATACAAATCACTTTTGCTCAAAGATCTACACCAAAGGAAGCATCAAAGTCCATCTGATGCTTCCTTTCGTGCCTGTAAATGATTACCTTTCATTCATTACAGATTCCTGGGATGTTAAAGATGTAATTTAAAAATGCATAATTAACAGTGAAGGAATATAATTCATAGTGAATTTAACAATGAAGAAAAATTGTCTTCATGGTCTTTTTGCATTGGGGTACCAAAGGAAGGTTTTGCAAACATCGAAAAAAATGACTATCACCTATAGAAATAAGAAACAAATAATAAATTGGATATATACAATTAGAGATAACTCCCTGTTTATCTCTATCTCTAAATGTCTAGGAATTTGTTTCTTACAATAGAATAACTTTAAACACTTTCTTTATTCACATAATATTAATAGGATTCTTCCCCCCAAATCAAATAGTGAAGGTCCTGTGAGCTTTGTTCAGTACAAAAGGAGTTTATTGTATTTCATTGATTCTACTATGTGTACTTTTTAACCTCTCTGGAATTGGGATGGGTCTTAAAATCAATATGATAAGAAAGTATTGCACCTTACCTCAACTGGCAGCTTTCTCCACCCTTTCTCAGTCATATAGAAAATAATAGTGCATCTTCTGACTGAAGATAACTTAAATTCAGTGACATATAGTTGCAAAGGTACGCTTCATTATTTGAATGTGACAATGCACAGAAAGTCCTGTTTTCAATTTGGCATCAGATTTACTACTTTATAGTCACAGGTCTCATGAAAAAGATTTTACGCCCGAAGTCTGGCAGGAGCGAATTCTTACTTGAATTGTTGCGTAGGAAGACCAGACATGCTCTTAAAAATTTAACCCTTGAATTATATTAAACTTTGCAATAAGCAAGTACAAATAATAAGTATCCAGTTTCTGCCACACATGTCCCAATTTTGGCACAAGTGTCACAGGAAATGTCAGAAAAGTATCTTGGTGGAGGGAGGGAAATCTTGAGCCATCGATGTCAGGAATTTGCTGCTGAAATTCTATCTGCCCCAAGCCATCTGATTACATTAAGTTGATGTTCCAAGGCAGTCATGAACAGTCAGCACCTTAGTGCTGAACAGCCAAAGCACATCCTCTCTGAAAAGAGATAAACAACGCTACACAAGGTGCTGCTGGGCGGTCGTTGACAATGTATTTACTTCAGAGAGAAACGGCTGTCAGGTGACCCACAGCAGCAGGAAATAAAGAACAAGAGAGTGAGGAAGATGAAAACCAAACAAAAATAACAGACCCAAACAGATAAAATCAGAATGCTCCTCAGCAATGAAGCAATGTGACCAGCCTCTAAGGTGGCTTTTTTCTCTTTTTAGCCCCTCTGTGGTTCATCTTAAAAGAATGCATACTAGCTGTGTTAAGAATCAGAGTCACTGGCCAGGATTTGAGATTTCTGCAGCAGGGAGCATGAGAACACATGGTACAAAACGTGGCCACAGGTCAAATGCTCTGTGTGTGCAATTTTCTCTATGAATCTCAATGAGTTGAAGGAATAGGTTAGATGGTCATCTGAGGTCACTTGAGGTCTGCTTTCTGAGTGACAGTTTATTATCCTTACTTTCGTCTCTGGACCACCAGGAAAATCACAGAGAGTGAGTGGAACAAATGACCTTGAGGAAAAAAACAACAGAAAAACAACAGAGCAGGAGTGGGGGGGAATGGCTGTAGCAATCGAGAGTATTAAAGAGAGTTCAAAAATAAGGTCGGAAGTTACAGAAAAGACAAAACAAAACAGCGACAACAACAAAACCCAGAGAGAAACTAGCTAATAGGCATCTAAAATTGGGGAGCCCTGAATTGCCCCAGCTGATGATGCAGGTAAAGAATAGACATGGTTATATAAATGATGTTAAATATCTCTCTGTTAACGAAACATATGAAATTGGATAACTGGCTATATTTTCACCAAATTTGAAGAATTCTTTGGGGCTGATCTGATTAAAAATGTAGAGCACGTGATATGGTCGAAATTCTCTTTGGGGGCCTAAGGGGCACACCTTAACTTATTTCCCTGGGAAAAGAGGGATTTCTTCTCCAGAAGAGCTTCAGGCTTTGATCAAATTACTCCTCCCATGGGCAACTCTGTAGTGTGCTCTTTTTGGCAAGTAGCAGCAGGAATTTATTTAGCTTTGGTTAATGATTCTCCCAAGCAATGCAGCATGAGCCAGATGGTTTATAATATGGGGGACTTGGAGGGCATTCAGACAATAAAGGAAGACAATGGGAAAAAATGGAATGGGAAAGCCCAGGTCAGAGATACCATGCAAACATGAGAGAGGCAGCAGGAGCTATGGAAGGTGGGTAAAGAGGTGTAGACAGAGACCGGCCTTGGGAAGAGGGAAGACACTCCAGGCAAAAAGAGGCATTTAAACCTGGGAAAACCATCCAGCTGAGCAGCCATTCTCAACTCTTCACTTTCATCACACCATAAGGAAAGAGGCACAAAGGCATTTACTGAAAATGCCAGCAATGACTTATTTCTTGGGGAAAATTGACCGCACATCACTGAAAAGCACTACAAAAAATGTCGAAAAGTTTTCTCACGTCCCACAGTGCCCATGTTTATACCATCTGTCAACATAAGGAGAACCAAAGTGATGAAGAAATGAAAGCTTCAAGAAAATAAAAGTTCTAAATTTTGTGATTTCTGATGCGTTACACGGTTGGAATTTAAAGAAACATTCCCCCCTCAATGGAGACTATTTTCATTATAAGAAATAATATCTAAATTATGGGATCTTATTTGACGATTTCTTCTTTACTTTTATGAATAGCTCTACATGGAAATAGCATAAGAGAATTCCTGCAAAACACAGGTGTTCACATTCTTTTATTTGCTTATTTGCTTACTTAAAGCACTTTGCCTTCTTTGCTGAGAAGGTGCTTTTAAAAGAAGAGTCAGATGATAGCAAAACACACAGCAAAACAACTTTGATCAGAAACATTGGGCGTTAGGGTTTTCAGATCATAAATAATAGCCAGTCAAAACCACAAACAGATTAGAAGAGAGGAGATAATTTTTACCAACTGTCGGGGTGGTGGCTGCACTCAAGGAATTTGTGGACGATATTGAAGAAGTGCTTTCAGCTCGGGCTAGGGGTGCTATCGGAGGAGGGCTGGAAGAATGGATGGGAGGGCTGAAAGGTCGGGGCTGCAGGGAGAAGAAAAGAAATGGAAAGTTAGATTCACAGGTCTGCCCTCCATATTTTTAGTGTCTCCCGGCCCCGGATATGACAACTCAGGTTCTTAAAAGAGAATAGGTGGCACCACTTTTACACTGAAATTGATTATATCTGTACAGGAGCTTGTGGATGGAGCTAGAGGAACCATCAACCGTAATGCGTTGCACTCAACAGGAACATCGCATTTAGAGAGGCTGAGGTCTGGGGTGTGGTCAGCGATGTTTCAGGAGGATGGCCTCTTATGCCCCCAGGAACTAAGCAAGTAACATAATGTGAGAGCTTATACCCACTGAAAGATATCTGAATGCAGAACACTGCACTGTGCTAGCTAAACTAGATATCAGGGACATCACCAGTCTGTGACTCCTGTGTGCAGATACCAAAGGAATTTACCTCTGCCAGAAGTCTCTTAATTGTTCACACAGAATGTTGCCCACCCCTCAGCCTTAAAACATGATGCAAGAAATGTCAGAAAAAACTCATTGGGTCACACCACCCTCCTTTATGTTCACACAGTGTGCCTACCACCAGTAACTTCTCTGTAGTCTGGGGACAGAAATCAGGACTTGCCCTCCCTTGGAATCTTCCAAAATCAGATAAACATGGTGAAAGGAAACACCTCCCATTCTAAAGGATTTAGCACAATTGAGCATTATTATCTTAATTTTCATCAAACCCACTGTAGAAGAACTAAGGGCCCCAGGATCCTATTCCTACTATTTTCGACCTTGGCTTGAAAGATGTTAGGGATTTGAGGGCAACTGAAACGTACACTCTGATTGCAGTGACTGTCTTTCAGATGTCACCTGTCAGGGCCATTTGTACAAGCACTGTAAGTGAGACTTAGACCTGAAGTTGAGATGACCCGCATTCAGGCCCTTGGACTCGTTTGTCATTCCCACTGGGTGTTTCTGAGCAGGCCAGGGCAGAAGGGAACATACCACATCTCCGACTCCAGGCTTCCCTGGAGGTAGCTTTGGCCGAGACGGAGGCCGGGGAGGAGGTGGAGGTGGGGTCGTGGTGCTGCAAAGAACCAAGGGGGTGGCTGGCCGAGCAGGGGATGATGCACCTGAAAAACAAGCTGGTGTTAAAAATGACTAGGAACGCAGGTGGCCAAAAGTGCTGTCATCACTGGATCCCGCCTTCCCCATTCCCCAACACAGTGTCAATCAGAGCCATTTGTTTCACCTCAGCAGTTAGTACAGTCAACTCTGTAGCACATGGGGTTTGGGTTTTTTTTTTTTTCAATAAAGAAAAAAAATCACTAGGTTGATGGCAGAAGCTGAAGCTCATTGCCTTTTGTTGTCATGTGACACCCAGTGAAAGGTAAATCCTTTTATTACTCCCTGTGACAGAAAATATATTCTTAAGACTCTTTTGGCTGGGTGGGTGGGTATCCTTCATTTTGACCATGGTACACACCAAACTTATGATCAATTTTCTTGATTTTCGCATATTCAGAATTTATTTATGTCCAAGATGAAAATGGAGGTTCGAACTTGAAAAAAAAAGATTTTTCACATTATATGTATATATACATATATATAAATATGTGTGTATATGTATATATATATATAAATATTTATGTATATAAAACACAGAAGAGAAGTATCCTTCTTACCGTGCTTCAAGCTATGAGTGCTAACTTCGTAAATGGAAGCAAACACTTGATGGTAAGCAAAGGACAAAATGTAAGAAAGTAAATTAGATGGTACGTGCATACTTTGTGTGTAGAATCTTAACAGAAACACATTGAATTTAGAGGATTTTATTTTTCAAAGGTGGCTAGGTAGGAGTCTGTCTGTGTAGAGGTTGCCTGCAATGATTTTTGTGATGATTTTTAAAAGGGCCCTTGGATTTACTTTTCTGGCTGTCAATGACAAGCATGTGAAACACAGAGGACACACAGAGGTTGGCATGCACATTGATGAGCGCACCAGAGAGGTCTCTAGACTCAGGGGTCTGCCCGTCTTCAGTCATCTGTCTGGGATACACGGGTAAACTACTTGGCTAACAACCTTAAGAAAGTCAAATCAATATTCCAAACTGTTCTTGTTCAGTCAGAGAAGTTCCAACTACTCCTGAGGTTTTTTTCACTTTGATTAGAAGCACAGGTATCAAATCACTCCAAGAAAAGTCTAAGAAATTGTGCCCCAGGAAAATATCTCTCCCCACCTAGCCTCCCCTCCAACATGTCACAAAGCTCTGTTCTCTGGAGAATCCTAGACCAGCACCTCCATGTCCAGATTTTCAGATTCTCAAGGAGCTTTGGAGTTGAGCAGCAAAACCCATCACCTCAGCAGCTGCTCCCATCTTAGGCATGTCCTGGAGGTGAAAATCTTGCTCCTTTGTGTAAACAATTTGAAATGTTGAGTGCGTTGTGTTTCTCTGTGTTGCTTATTCTAAGTGTAGTTTCATCGGAGCGAAACCCTACTAATCATTACCACCCATCCCTACCGATACCTCCTCTCCACCACTGCCAACTTTTTATTGTATACTCACTTTTTATTTTATTGGGCCAGCATCTATGTTAGGCATTTTACATGCATTATCTTATTTTATCCCCACAATAAGCTTTGGAGGAAGGTACTTCTACTATCTCAGTGGAAAGTAAAGCTCAGAGATATTCAGTAACTTGCTCAAGGTCACGTAGCTCAAATGGTCTATGTAACTACAAAGCCTGAGCTTTTAAATGCAGTGTCTTGTAGCTTTAGGTGGACCGTAGCCCCATATTTTGCACAAAGGTCTTCTTTTCGCATGGATAGACTGCATACTTTTGTCTCAATATAAATATTCTTAGTCTTTGGCTAATCTTCTCTGAATAAAAGAATAGGGTATATTTTGACAGGTCCCACTACAAAGTTTTCTTTATACCCAGGATGTTTTCAGAAAACAGAAGTGACAGCAAAGAGATGGGAAATAAATCTTTACACAGCAAAGTCTTTGTCAGGAAGTTTTATGGAGCTTTTTTGAGGGTTCTATTTTGCTGGAAAACCATGCTATAGGAGTGGGTCAAAATGTCTACCCATGGGTCTATTTCCAAGAAATAGTCTTCTGAGTCAATCTCGGGAAAAGATCAGCTGTGGGATCTTGACTTCTCTGAGCCTCAGCTCCCTGTTTTAAAAAAATAAGACATGTTTCTACTTTGCAAAGGGGTTGTCACAATTGGAATGGACAATGCTTATTAAAGTATTTACTAAACTATAAAATACTACACAAATGGAAGGCAGTTGATGACGGTAAAGATTGTTTTTTGATACAGGTACAACTAGAAGCAAGGAAAAAAGTGGCTGGTTAACTGGTTTCCTTTTCCTTTTGCGGCACTTTTTCTTTACTGTTTTACTCACTTTTTCTTTACTGAATTGATTTCATTGATTCGTTGTGCAGTTAGAAGATACTAAGGGAGTGTTTAAGAAGCAAAACCTGCTTGACAGAACCCACACATTCAGCAGAGAGTACTCAGGGCCTAAGGAGTATTTCACAACTGTACTAACGTTTCACACGATTTTGTGAGATTACACAATTATTTTGTATTGCAAGAATATAGAGGGCTATTATTTGTACATCTCTATCCTCATTCTTCTACCTTCAATTATACTTTCATTTTCCCTTCAAGCAGTGTTTATTCCCAAGAACAATGCTGGAAAATAACTGGACAACATTGTTTAACTTTAAAAATCACATGTACATCATTTGAGTTTTGTGAGTTCAGAAAAGTTGGCAACCATTGACATGCTCTCAATCCATCTGCTGCTCTCAACCTGGAGTTCGATCATAACTTTGGTATGAGAACCGCATAAGGATGACTTCAACTTTCATCTCTCTTTTTGTGTGTGTACTTGTGGGTGGGGGAGGGGAGTGGGGGGGGAGAAGTGGTAAATCGAATCCAACAGACCTGAGGTCAGACAGATACTGGCTTTGCTATTTATTGTTTTGTAACGGTGGCAAGTCCTATCTTTCAGCATCCATTTCCTTATCTGTAAAATGAGGCTAATACATCAAAATGTTGTGGAGGAGAATCAAATGAATTAAAATATGTGCACTTCAAAATATGTGAAGAATCAGTCTTTCCCAACTTGTGTTCCTTAGGACACAATTACACCATTGCTTTGAGGAAAGTATTAAACATATGTGGGAATGGTTTCACACTGCATTTCTTTTTTGGTGACCAGCACATTAAAAGCCCTAAAACAGTACTGCCCAACAGAGCTTTCTGCAACGATGAAAATGTTCTGGAACAAGTGCTGTCCAATAAGATAGGCGTTAGCCACATGTGACCACTGAGCACTGAATTGTGCCTACTGCATCTAAATAACTGATTTTTAATTTTAATTTTAATTAATTGACATTAAGATTAAAATAGCCCCACGTGCCTAGTGGCTTCCATATTGGACATGTAGTTAGGAAATATATTTGTTTAATTCAACCCCAGGTAGCTCAAAGTTATTTGCTTATGGGGGGTTGTATGTGTGTGTCTGTTTGTGTTTAACATGCTTTACTATTGCTTTAGTTTCCCCAGTCGGGAAACGTTGCACTGAACGTTCTATCTTTACGGACACCTCTCTTTCCCTGGCCTCCAAACTTGCTGCAGGCCAAGAAAACACTTTCCCCATTCTATCCCCCGGGCACACACAGCCCACATAGGAGAAGAGATAGCCTTTGCCAAGAATCAGTGTCTGCATTCCAATAAAGCAATGTGTTGGCCAAACTATGTATTTTGAACTTTTGCCATAAGGAAATTAAAGTTCTTGGAGCAAATTCTTAACTTCCAACTTTTTCAATAGCAGATAACTCTTCTGATTCACGAGGCCTGAGTACTGTCTAAACTTGGTCATTGGCAGTCATCTCAGTGTGAATGAAAATTTTAAAGTAGGCATAATGGTATCTAATTAAATATAGTTTGAGGTATACAAGAAGCGTTATTCCCATCAGGTTAAGTTTTAAGAAGCAGGTAGTGATAAGCACTACGAATCTTTAAAACATGAGACCGTATCCTATTCTTTTAATCCTAAATTTACATTTCTTCCAGTCTGTGTATATTTCATCAATAAAAGATTTACGAGCAAATAAACTGGGACTTAATTAAGGAGATAATGGTGCAAGTTTTATTTATTCATGAGCTTCGTTGGCCCAGTTCGGTCTTCTACTTAGAAATTCAATCCTTTAATACCAGTAAAGTATAGTTTTTTTCCAGCACAGTTATTAAGAATTGATAGTCTTTACTGGTAACATTTGCAAGTAATTTTAAATAAGAATATGGAAACTAAACACTAAAACAACAAAACTCCCAAGGATTCTAGAAAGAAAGCTAGAGCTTCTCTTGCCACTCATTAGCTCAGTGGTCAATTCAATCAAACAAGCATCTCCCACAGCCTTGTGGAAGGTGTTGGAGGAGCTGGGTGAGTAACAAAGCTCCCCTCCCCCGACCAAAGGAGTTTACTTTGAGGAGAGCATAGTGGCCGGGCCACTGAAGAGAAGGCATTATTCCTTGAAAAGTTCTTTCGGAAGACTCAGAGTCTGGCCCAGGAAGGAGAGTCCCATCCAAGGCAATGGAAACATGCCCCTCTTTGACAGAGGACAACCAGCTTCTTTGGGGTTGAGGTCTGAACTGAAGGTTTTACCTAGGGGCCCTTTATTATCTTTACAGTTAAGTAAGAACCCCAAAGACCTAAAAAGGAATAGAGGGTGGAAGTGAGGCTCTAACCCTCCAGAATTATAGAAAGGAACACAGAGGAGCAGGTTTGGAGAGAAGACTTTTGGTGATCTTGATGACACTGTGCAGTACAGGTGTGTGTCAGTCTCAAATAAGTTTGGGATGTTTTGTCACTAAACCTTACAAGAGTGCCTGGAGGGCATAGTGGTTGAGAACACAGGCTTGAGATCAGAGAGACCCGAGGATGAATCCCAAGTCTACCACCTGCAGCTGTGTAAACTTGGGCAAATTACTAAACATCCAAGAGCCTTGGTTTTTCGATCTGTAAAATGGGGGAAAGAAGAGTATTCACCTCATGGGGTTGTTGTAAGGATGAAATGATGTGCATAAAGTTCTTGGCATGAAGCCAGGACAAGAAACTATAGCTGTTGCTCTTATTGGCAAAATAATGGCTCTCAGAGGTCCTATAGTAAAGAAGCCTGCCGATTTTGCTTTAACATAGTTTCCCAAACTTAAATTTTAGTACTGCATTCTTTTTCCTTCTTGGTGGAGGAAGGGCACACGTAATGATATAAAACACTGATTTTGTGTGCAGTGCGTGTGACTCTCCAGTCCTCTCCTTGATCGGCTTGGATGCTCTCACTTTAAAGCACAGAGCAGTTTGCAAACCAGAGCAAGCACTGAAAGATACTCCATTGAAAGCAGAAGCAATGATGACTATTAGAATGGAGACAAATGCCTTTCCTTTCTGTCTCTTACTAGACCTAAATAACTTAGACTTGGTCGCCTCTTTCAAAGAAAATAAAAAACAAATAGTCCTTCACACCCCTGCAAAGGAACCTAAACCAAACCCACAGGAACAGTTTGGGAGGGCACTGGAGGATCTTGTCAGACAAACATGAGCACCAATGGAATGAATAATACAGAAGCTGCATTAGAAAAATCTTGGTCTTTCTTGGATATGCTTGGTAGTTCCCATCCTTTCATAATTAGAGAGCACAAAATGAAGCTTCAAATAAGGGAAACCAAAATATCAGATTCAATGTCAACATGTGCATTTAGAATCCCAAAATGTACATTTCTGATAAACTGCTCCATCACCTGTCACTGTACTTCGAGTTGACCTCATAGGCTGATGAGCATGTCAAATGATGACATCAGAGAGTAGTTTGTTTCAGTGGCAGCTTGATTAGGCTGGGGATGCAATAAGGCAGGCTCTTCTTTTGCTGTCCTCTAAAATCTCTTTTTCAAACCCTACTTCTTTTTCTCTGAAGTAATTAGAGGAGTTAACATAGCTCTCCCACCATAAGGAAAATAAACAGAAAAAAAATAGAAGAAAACGCACTGAACTACAAAAACTAGGACCCTTGAAAAAAAATACAAACAGATTTATAAGCTTATAAGTTGAATAATGTCTGAGGAGCTAATGTATAACATGGTGACTATAGTTGATAACACTGTATTGAATGACTGAAATTTGCTAAGAGAGTAGAACTTAAATTTCTCACCAAAAAAAAAAAAAAAAAAAAGGTAAATATGTGAGGTGATGGACTGTGTTAATTAACTTGGTGGGAGGAATTCTTCACAGTGTATGTGTATATCAAATCATCAAATTGTACACTTTAAATATCTTACAATTTCGTCAGTTGTATCTCAATAAAGCGGAAACACCCGAAAAAAACCCAAACAAACTAGGGCTCGCGTGGAGGCATCTGATGAGGAAATCAGACATTAAACACGAAACTCACTTGCTGTGAAACCTGTCTTTCTAGAACTTTTCCTGAAATCTAAACAATGACATCACAGCTTTCTTTAAAAAATATACACCTTATCTGCAGGGTAGAAGGCAGGGCACTCCTAAGGGCTGCGAGTGCAGGGCAGGACACATCCACAGACTTGCACTATGACCGTGAGCATTCGATGGACTAGTACATGCCACAGGGCACAGGACACCCACGCCAAAGGAGGGATGGCTGAAGCTCTAAAGCCAACTGCCAGGCAGGAGGAGGGCGTTGCTCACACTGCCGTAGCCACGGCCATTCCCGGTCACACGAAGCACACTCAAACATAAGACGTACCACTGGTGGTCCCTGTACCACTGCCCGAGCCAGGTCCAGGGGATGAAACCACAGTCCTGTAGGTGGGTGGTGGTGGGGCAGGCGGAGTTGCTCTCTGCCCCAGCCCCAAATCTTTAGGAGATGAGATTGTTTCTAAGTAATCATCTTTAATGAAGGCCTGCTCAGCGACTTTCTTCTGGACTTCTTCCAAGTTGAGTGGCGATGGTACATTGCGAGGGGGACTTGGAGGTCCTGGGGGACCAGGAGGGCCCGGGGGGCCCGGAGGCGGGGAGTCAGCTGGGTTGTCTGAGGCAGCTGGTGGGGACACCACCTTTTCCCTTGGAGTCAACTCTGGAGTAACACGTTCCGGGGATGTATCAGAAAAATGGACCCACTTTTCTTCAGCATTAACAGCAACAGACTTGGGGGACAACACAGGGCCAAAAATGCTGTCCAAGTCATTGATTGATGGTAGTTTTTCAATTTTGACCTCTGTGGCTGCCTGGTCATTTCCTGTGGTTAAAGTAGTTGATTTTAAAATTTAATTGACTTTGTTAAAATTATTTGTATGGGAAGTGGGAGGGGTGAGGCAAAGCCTGGTAAATAGATTGTCTTGTGAGGTGCCTAGGTAGGCATATTTCACAATGGAAAATCTTGATTGGAGTTGAAGGGGAGGGAAGAGTTCCTTGCGTCTACAATATGAGTATCGCCTTTTTTGCTATTATTTACCCTCGTGTGGGGTGACCCGAGTTGGCTACTTCTACCATCATCGAAAGCACTTGAGCACGCGACTGCCCTCCAAGGCTGCTCACAGGCATGCAAAGTGTGGTCATTCTGAGAAGACAGTGTTAGGTTCACAGAAGTGTACAAGCTCTGGAACTGGAAATTCCAAAAGGGAGGTCCCTTTGGAAAATCTGGCCTACTGAAATACAGAGGACACAACTGAAAAAGAACTGATAGCTGGAAATGACCCTCATTTGATAAAGATTGTCTACTCTGGCATATTAAATGAAAATGTTTCGTGAAACTAATGACAATATCTGTTAGTTTAAAAAAATGATCACATCATAATTAGTTGTATAGCCTCTACCTTGAACACACCAGAAACACAGCACAAAGATTATTTAAAGAGATATCCCCACATGAATATTTACAAACATACACATACACACTCCACACACCACACACATAGGATAATGAGAATACATTTACTACTTATTAGAACTGTTACATACATACCTGTTTAATAGGGAAGAAAATTATAAAAACACCTTTATAATTTCTTTTCTCAAGTCTAACCTGTTAATATCAAAGGCATAACTGATATATATCTATCTGAAGTCACAAAACAAAAAAGTCTGTTTTGCTTAAGTATTAGCATTAGCTATTCTTTTTAATTCTTATCAGTAATAAGAGAAAAAATTAAAACTATCTTCTACAGCTTGGCAGGAAATACTTGATAACATTTGAAATGTGAGGAAGTGTACCTTTTACTAAACCGAGGTTATTTAAATTAGAAATTGTTACCTATATAATTGCAAGGCATGAGCAGAAGCCACTTTACCTTTAAATAACCTTCTAGCTATAAGAGCCGGCTTAGTATTTCCATATTTCACATTTGAAAAGAGTTAACCTTCAAGGTTCCAAGGCTACAGATAAATGGGATAGCAGTTTGCATGGGCCACAATATTTATAATTTTGTTGCTGGTAGATTTATTTATCTCTAACACATTCATGGGAATCCAAGGGGCCAAAATGATTTGAACTTGCAAACACTTTTACCTGTGACACTCTGGATGACTGTTGGGTCTGAATCAATGTAAATTTCATAAATGACTATGTCTTGCATTTGCTCTTGTTGATAAATACCTCACTCTGTAGCTATCAAACTCACCAGGCTGCATAAATAGCTAAGGATGAAGCTGCAATAGAATTCCAAAGGTGATGAAGAACTGCATTCTAAGGACCCAGGCACATAAAATAACTACTATTGTCTTTTTTTTTTTTTTTTGCGGTACGCGGGCCTCTCACTATTGTGGCCTCTCCCGTTGCGGAGCACAGGCTCCGGACGCGCAGGCTCAGCGGCCATGGCTCACAGGCCCAGCTGCTCCACGGCATGTGGGATCTTCCCGGACCGGGGCACGAACTGTGTCCCCTGCATCGGCAGGCGGACTCTCAACCACTGCGCCACCAGGGAAGCCCACTACTACTGCTTTTGACTTGCTAGTCCAGTAAGACTAGGTAGATTATAAACTGTAGGAATACATAGTATTGATTTTAATAGACAGTAAAGGTGTGCCTTAGAAATTATCTGTCTAAAGGCATGCAGCAATTCCTTGCCATATTTTATCATCCTTACACATCTCTTTGCCGTGGGATAATAAATACTTTAATAACTACTGGGAAAAATTCCCACCACCCAAGCTTACCTGTATGTTGCATATCCCGGGAACCATTCTATTATCATTGTGGACGACACAGTTTTAATTCTAGAAAAAAACTCATTGGTTCTTGGAACAATACAAATTATGCCTTTTAATTTGTAAATCATTACAGTGAGATCCAATGAAGTGAGATGTCAATTGAACAATGACTTTTGATATTGAGTTTGTTTTCTTCCATCTCACAAGTAAATGTGGCCTTTGTTCGACAACATTATACAGAGAAAACATGAGTTAGGAAAGTGAACCCTTTTGTGAAACCTGGGAGTGATACTTTAAAAGAAGTCTACATAGTGAAATGTAATGGCAATAAAACTAAACGCAAACAGTTTCATGTTTAGTCTAGCCTATAGCTTCCAACACATCAAGAGCATGTTGAGGTACGGGGCCACTGCTGATTGCCACATCATCCCAGAGCAGAAAAAATAAAGCTTACCTGGTCCAGTTGTTAAGGGGGAGCCTGTTCGGGGTGGAGTGGCTGGTACGTGTTTTGGAGGCAGTGGTGGAGGTGCTGCCAGGAGATAAGAAGCCAAGCATTGCTGATCACACTCTCCCTAAGTTACACAGTATTCCCTAGGTAGGCAGGGTTGGGGCTTTCACTCATACTTCTGCTATTGGAAAAGGAATAACCATTAACAATCCATCTTCTTTAAAGTTCAAAGCTAAGGGATTGAAGCAGGACTCATTCAGATTCTTCCATTTTATGATAAGAATTTGTCAAGAGAAAGTCAGATAGTAACAACAATAACACCATCATTTCATTCATTCGTTCCTTTGTTCAATATGCCTCAAGTACCAACGAGGTCCCATGTCCTGTACTAGGAATGACGTGGGGTTGACTACAACGAGCCTCTGCCCTCAAGGAATTTACTACTGAATGAATGAAGATCATGGTCACAGGCAATTACTGTCCAGAGTATGGTCAAGGACAATGAGAACAGCTTGGGTAGGGGCTCAGGGGAGGGTTTTTTTTTTTAATAGAGTCAGGATATTATCGCTTGGATGGAGTCTGGAAAGATTTCTCAAAGTTATATGTCTTGGGACTTCCCTGGTGGTCCAGTGGTTAAGAATCTGCCTACCAATGCAGGGGACACGGGTTCTATCCCTGATCGGGGAACTAGGATCCCACATGCCACAGGGCAACTGAGCCCGTGAGCCACAACTAAGAGAAGCCCTCGCACCGCAGCGAAGATCCCATGACGCAGCTAAATAAATAAATAAATAAAAAAAAAAAAAAAAAAAAAAGTTATATGTCTTAAATTTTGGGTATATTTTTGAAAGACTGAAGCAAAATGATTTGGATCAAGGAAGAATGAACAGATTCCTTTGATGAAATTATAGCTAAAAAAAATCCATGAGATAGAAAAAGTATTGCATTATAGCCCCAACCCAGAGACTCATCCTTCTGAACTGGGCTTGTCACTTTGTGGGCCAAAGTTAAGAATTTCAACAGGTACGCTGTTTTCTTATTCTTTCTTTAAATGTATGTTTTCCTCTCACTGCTATATTTGGTAGATTTGATGAGTTCACTTTTTTCTTCAGGACTTCTTTCCCCAGCCACCTGGAGTAAGGGTTGGGGGCATTCTGGAATAAGTGGAGATGATGGCTCTCTTTGCTTTGAGATGAAATTGCCCTGATCTCCTATCTCAGCTTCTCTCTGCCATATGGCATCATTTCTTTTGTTCTCCAGTTATCACTCTTTCCTCTCAATGTGTCCTCTCTATTCTCTGTAGCCTCAGTTGTTCTGTAGGCCTAGCAGAGACCTTATCTGATTTGGTTACCTCTGTGTTGTGTGCTAGCCCATGCCTGGAGAATAGCAGGGTCTTTAGTTCACTTGCTTATCACTCCTACATAAACCTATTGAACGAATGAATGAGCCTGTGGGACGTCAGAAGAAGCTATAGATTCCAAGTTACTTATTCTGCTTTATTTATTATATTATTCCTGTCTCAACCAACTGTCCTAGGTCCCTGTAACTCTAAAGCTTATCAGGATAACATCTCTTCTTAATGTTAAACAGTCCAAATGTGGCTTATGTAGACTTTGTAAGGGTTGCCTAATTTCACTATGCAGGCAGACAGTAAAATGAGTCACTTATTTTTCCAGACAGAGCAGACACATAACTTACTTCCAGTGGGAAAAGGCCTTGTTAACTTTGGCGACTCTGTGCTTGGATTAATTGGTTGGCCTGGACCCCATATCTCAGGCTGATCTAAAAGAACTGGAAACATAAAAAGAAAATTTCCCAGGGTGAGTTCAAAAAAGAAACGTCCTGAGTTTAGAACTTAAAATTTCAATTTAAAGTTGAGTTTCACAAAATTACTTCTGTCTTCCCTCAGTCCTAGCAAATTAATTTAGAGATGCGTTGTTCCTCATTTTTTTCAAGCAGAGAATGGACAAAGGAGCAGAGTGTGTGTGTGTGTGTGTGTGTGTGTGTGCGCGCACACACACACACATGTGCGCAAGGGGTGTCTGTGTGTGCACATATAGCTAAATAAAAACTTGCAAAACAGAGCGTCTGCATTCTTTTCCTGGTTGGTCACTTAAGGACATTCTAAATGTCAATACATGTACTGGCTCCTTTCTGGCACCCACTTGAAAATCCAGGCATTACTCCCATGGACATTTGTTTTAAGTTGGTTTATTTAAAGTTTGCTATGAATAGGCTTCAAGATGCCTGAATTCTGTACAGTGGTTCCCACCTTTAAAGCATCTTACGGGGTCTTTAAACAATCCTTTTACAGTATCATAAAGAGAAATTAAATTATTCAAAAAATGTTTGGTGAACATATTAAGAGAACCAGAAAAATAAATAAGTCCTTAGGCATCTAAAGTAAATCAGGGCAATTAGGTATTAGGCCTAAGGGCACTGAATCTAATATTTCTTCTTTTTCTTTTTCTTGGTTGTTGCCATGGTAACAATGTAATGAACTAGCTCTTCTCAGCACCTATCATGTGCCAGGGTCTGTGTAAGTACTGCTGGTAATTCATTAGGTTGTAAAACAGGCTGGGAAGTCAGTTGGATGTGGATTTGAATCCAGCCTCTATGCTTACTCTAGGACCTTGGGCAATTCGTGTAACCTCTGAACTTCCCTTCCTTCAGTGTAGGGATAATAAGAGCAATCTCAAAGAGTTACTAAAAGGATTAAAGGAGGTAATGTATATAAATATAATGTATATAAAATACATGTAAAACACTTATGACAAGGCCAGTAGCTATTATGATATATTTTAGTCCTCACCTCACCACCATGTGGTTGATATTAAGGAAACCAAAGATTACAGTGATTAAACAACTTGCTCAATGACACACATGGTGAAAGTAGCAGAGCTAAGATCTGATCCCAGGCGTGCATTCCTAACTCCAAAAATATCCACTTTCCTCTCAGGTCTTGTAAACTAGTGATAGAAGAATCAATAAAGAGCGTAAGAGTGAGTAGATAAGAAAAGTAGGTGCAGCTATTGGAACAGCTAGTATGTTCGGTGCAAATGTTGGAACTTTACAGAAATCCAGGGGCTGAAACCACCTAAAGAACAATCAAGACAGGCTCATTGACAAGTTCAGTTCCTCTCCACCACAAACCTCAATGATGGTCTTAGCTCTGTTTTGTTTTAACATGAAAGCACACATTCTCCAAAGATGTGATGTAGCATTTGGTTTTTTGTAGATGCAGTGTGGGACACCACTTTGATTTCTATGAACTGTTTTCTATTTTGTCTATCAGGTTTATATAATGTTATGGGATTTTTTAATAGGTAGATTCAAATGCAACAAATCAAACCCCACCTTCAGTCACTACACATGACTTTATGTCATTAAAAGTGAGACTGATCACAGATCGGTTAATAAGATAACTGAGAACCTCACCGCAGGGCCACCTTTATTTATGGATTCTAAGTTGTAGACATTTAAATCACTGAAGGAGTATTTAGGGATGTTCTTTATACACTTTGCTAACTACATTGTTGAAAAACATTCAGCTGTGGCTGGCTGCTAGCTGTCTCCCAGGATCCATTCTCCATTTCTTCTACAGTTAAAGTTAAGCAGGCCATATGGCACTAAATTCTTTCTGATGGGCTCTGGTTGGAAGTGATGTGTGTCTCTTCCAGGTTTTGCTCTTACAAGAATTGGCAGTGAGTTCCATGGGTCCTCCCCTGCCCCCCTTTCTTCTGATGGTGAGAGCTGGAGCAGCCCCCTTGCACCCAGAGGTGAAGGCCACATGCGGAGGATAGAAGAGCCACCCAACCAGTCCTACATTGTGTACTTCGAGGCTGTTTACATGAAACAGAAATAAAATTCTATCTTGTTTAATTCACTGTACTTTGGAGTCTCTTTGTCACTGTATCTTAGCCTACTTACTATGCTTTCAAGTCTTGTTGTCCTTAACACTTATATCTAATTTCCTTCACCAATTGGTCCTAGAAAAATCATCTTTGATTTTTGGTTTTTTTGATTTTTTCTTTGATTACATGACCATAGGGGTCTTAAATCAAATGATTTCTATAAAAACATCCCATATTATCAAATATATAGCTGCTGGAGATCCATGCATTGGACATGAATACATTTTAGGAGTAGATTAGATCCCTTTCATAAAGAGTTTCTTTTATGTCAGCAAGGTATACATTACTCACAGCCATCCAAAAATGGTTAATGTTTAAAAGTTAAAATATTTAATTCTAGGAATAAATATTTAATAGGTAAACCCAACAATAACTGCCAAAATGATATTTCTCCCATAACATTTTATTTCTAAGTTGCTAAATGATTTAAGGTCATTCCTGGGTCTTGAACCTGCAAACAGTGTCTACTGTGTGAGTAAGACAATTGACACCTTCACTGATGAGGTCGACAAGAGAGAAAATGTGGTCAAAGAGGCTATATCACAATGACAGTGACTATGATGGGGAATTTGAAGGTCTGGCTCCATAATAATGGCTGTTTGGCTAATAGAACACTTATTCCCCATCCAGTGAGTTGTAGAGACTTGCAGTAATTCTTATTGGCCTCTTTTGAAGAGTGAACTTGTTAGCTCTTAGCTACTTCTGGAAGTAAAGTTTCAAGTCCTGAAATGCTAGAGGTCTGCAAACAAAATTCCCATGCTGAGAGCACACCTAGATCAGAACTATCCTTTCACATGAAGATCTGGTGATACCTTACAAACATGCCTCAAAGCACATTTACTCTAGGTAAGTTATACTTTATTGAAAGGAAAAACAAATCTATAGATATACAGAGTTTTTCCTACCTTCTGTCTTCTGTTCATCAAAAGCTGATTCTAATGGTGGGCCAAAGAGGGGAGCAAGTGCCATGGTGTCATCTGGAGGTTTTCTGCTGAATCACACACATTACAGCAAAACATAGGGAAAGGAAATATTAATGTTAAAAAAGATATAAAGCTTTCAAATATTTTCCACAGTAAGGCCGATGTATGTGTGTGCACTTATGTACATATATATGTATGTACTCAAGCTCCCGAGGGGCTAAAAAGTATATTTATGAAGAGGTCAAATGTATACGGACAAAAGGATCAGTAGGAGGTAAGATCCCTCATTCTCAACGGGGGCCCAATGGGCTGGTCCAACAGAAATAAGATGAAGAGAGAAACTCTTTCAAAGCATCTGAGTCTCTATACCTAGAAGAGATTATTAAAGATAACAGTTTATTGAAAAGCACCTTCTTCTCTTAAGATCTCAAAAACCATTTATATCTGTCTTCACCACATCTCTGTGTTGTAGTTAATGTGGGTTTATGATTAGTGAAAGTCAGGCACAGGGAAGCTAAGAAACAAGCCACCAGGAAGTTTGTGTTTGAATAAGAAACTGAGTCTACCAGCTTCTAACTTCCATCCTCCCCTGACCGCCCCACACAGTTGACTAATTATAACTTCCTAATACCTTAATACTGCACATTAGAAAAAGAAGAGCATTGAGAAATCAGGGGGGAAAGACAGGTAGTAAGTTAGACGCTCATCCTTTCTACTAATTATTACTTAAGCTGATTATTAAAGAAAAGCTGCATAATTATCTCCATTTCTTCCCCAGACCTGATTCCCTTCATTGATCCTCATGAGTTCTGTGTGTGTTGGGGGATAAGAGGTGAAGAGGAGAGGGGAGGGGCTAGAGAAGGAGGGAAAGTTAAAAGGATCCAGCCTTTACATAGAAATAGGAGTCTTTGGGGGAAACATTGCTTATGGGCACAATACTTACTTATCCCAAGGATTACACAGTGTAAAACACAATGCTTTGCCAAAAACAAAAAACAAAATAGAAGATTCCTTTGGTGTGTGGCAGGTAGAATGTATCACAAAATTGTAGCCAGCTAAACAGGCTACTCTTTGTAAGGCAATATAATCATATTTCAGATCAGCATTCCAGACACCAAATGACGTCTTCATGTAGACGTTTAATCCTCTCATTAGTGAGGGGCTCCATATTCTGATAGATGTTACTTTAGATGACTACAGAGTACTTTCCTAAAGATCTCCCTCAGGCTGCACTTAGGAGAAATGATAACATATTTGAAACTGCTGTGACATACACATATGGGCAGGCCCTTTGTTATTAGATGCTGAGACTTTAGCCCAAAGGAGATTTGTTTCATTGTTAACAGTGCATGATGCCTTGCATAAAACACAACTAGTGTTTTTCATGCTCACCTTATGAGTTCTGGAGTTGGTGTGGAACGCCTGGGTCTCGCTACTTCTTCACCTGATGCACAGGACAAAGGGAATTTTTAGGCATATTTTTACCATTTTTTTTCTTTTATGTCTTATGAGCTATGTTTGGAAACACTTAGAGATTTAAGTCCCATCAATAAGCAACTCCATGTGAAAACTTTGCAAAACAAACCCAGAAAACAAACCCTCTCCCCTGGCAATGCAACAGCCATATATTAGGCATATGTAGTAGCATTTTCTTTGGCATTTATAAAACTAGTTAACCAGGGAATTACCATGATAAGCCAGCAAATGGAAGATGTGTACACTGTAGAGCTTAGTGGAATAGCACACCATTCTTTCAATGCCTGCTGCCTTGATCAGTTCTGCTTTTCAATTACCATAAGAGAATACTAAGCCAGGCCATATGTACACAGTGCATGAATCCAGCATTCTCTGCCTGTTCTTTTCTTGAAATGCCAAGAAAATGTTATACCTTTAACTAGGAACCATTCATTTAAAATTTCCTAGAACGTGCTGTATGCAGCAGAAGAAAATCATGCCACATGTATATTATAACCTATTTCATCTCGCTTTGGTTCACTAAGATTTTCACATCAAATAACACAAAAATGGGTAAGTTGCATCTACCTTCAGTTCCTTCAGCCCTCCTCCTGTCCCTACCCCAATAAGCAAACACACACTTGATTAAATTCATTTCTAAAGTCAAATGATACAGTAAGAGTTGACAAATATAGGAAGAAAATAGCAATGTTTACCCCAAAACATACTCGCTTTCAGGATCTAAACATTAGTCATTCAGAACCCACAGAGCCCTTTTATCATTACAAGATTTCTTTTATCATTACAAGATTTCTTTGCTGTAAGAGTAAGACATTTGTAAGCCTTAAAAATCAAGCCCAAGAGTGTATAAGTCAAATGTATATATGCTCCAAGATCCAAGGAACTGTTCCTTCTTTTAAATCGTACTCTATTTCTGGTAGCTAAGATATACTTACTGGATAAGTTCCTTTTAATTGCACCCTAGAATTAGAAATAGACACTATAAGGTTTAAGACCACATATATGTTATGTACAATATGTATATTTCTGTCATTTCAATTAAACTGAACTCAAAGAAATGCAGTTGGGGAAAAATGAATTTTTTCTCAGAATTGCATTCAAGTTGGAAATTGTAGACACACACATATAAATCAATTTTTCATTTTATTCAAAGATTACAGAGAGGAAAGAGAGTAAACAATAAGTCTTCCAAACCAGAAGAAAACCCTTACCTGGGTAGATTTGGTAAATTAAAGCAAATATTGAATAGTCTATTAAAAAAAAATCCTTGAAATCTAGCAGTCAAGAAAGTAAATCCATGTTTAACTTATGTTTAATGTTTAAAAATTACAGACTGTATGAGGAGTACTCTCTGCTCTTATCAGATGGGGTCCATAAGTTGCTTGTAGAAACAGTCATTAGTTACGAATGCAATTTTTAAAGATACATGTGGAAAATGTTAAAAAGAAGGAAAACTTGAAGGTATTACCACTGAGTGGGCTGTTCTATTCAGGGAACCAGAGAATTCCATTCTTTCCCATCCGCCCTTCCTATCCCAATTTCTTTCACTTGCCTGCCATGGGGGCACCAACCTATCAATTGGGTGTCAATTGGGTGTCATTCCTTTAGCTCAAGGTACTGTGCTTCTATAGGAATGACAATTTCCCTGTCAGGAATAATCTGAGAAGGTCATTTTCAGATTTATAAGGCCCTAGGAGAAAATTATTTTGACAACAGAAGATTGATTCAAGTTTTGATTCAAAACTGCTGTGAAAGGTCCTTAGCATGTGATGCTTCCACAAAAGCAGACCACTAGAAGCGTGGCCTCATAAGGTGGGACGTGGCTTGGCAGGGCCTCCTTAGGAGAATGACAGGGGCAGAGTTCAGGTTGGGGAAGTGGAAGTATAATAAAGTTTTCAAAAGGGTATGACTATGAGTTTGGTGGGTGATAATCAAACACATTTTTTTCTACTTTCCTACTTTGGTGAAGGCTCAACATGGTGGTCACAGATGTTTTCTTCTCTCAAATGATAACATAAACAACTCAGGACAAGACGTAGCACCTCTGTAACAGAACTATAAGAAGGTTCTTTCCCTCTTTCCTAAGGATTTATCAGAATTTTGTCTCATTTTGAACTCATTTACAATAGAGGAGCAGTTTCAGACTGAACAAGATCCACTAGATGTTTTTTAGTGACTTGCATGTATGTGCTATATAGAGATTATTATACATTATTAGTAAAAACTTTTTAATAAATATTTTATTTATTTTAATAGATAAACACTTTAAATCAGTATGTGTAAGTTAACATGTTCATTTAAATTAATAAATATTTAAAACAAATATGATCATTTAAATCAGTTATGGTCATTATAGGAGTTTTGATGTGGGTTGGCTTTTGGAAAATAAGACTCTGTAGACAAAATAATAAGAGAACAAATTGTTTAAATGGAGTGAAAATGTTTTTCTAGGTTGGAGAGCCTCAGATTGTCAGATTTTTATTAATAAAGTCTGAAGGAAAAGATCAGGTGGAGGCGTTAGGTCCAAGTAGTCAATCACGAGGTTGACACTGAGGGAATAGGACCTACCTAGTATAGTGAGACCTGAAATTCAGGAGTTAGGGGACCCCAGAAGCTGTATTGAAGACCTTTTGGTCTGTGTCTTACCCCTTTATTTATAATGTAATATTCATGAAACCAAGAAAGATACAAAGCTTCTTTGGTGTTCATTGGTATTCATCATTTCCCGGTGTATCAATTCATTTGATAGATGTTTATTGTTGAGAGGCATTAGACAAGAAGCCTCTGTAATATTTTATTAAATATTCCGTATGAATGAACAATCATCAGTGAAGAGGAAGAAAGACATGGCAGAAATATGCAAGAAAACCGTTGTTTAGAAATTAGAAAGAATAAAATCATATCAATTTAGAAAGGAACAGATGTTCAAACAATAAGCAGGAAACCATTAGCAACAGAAAAGAAAGTCCCGTTGTCCCATGATCCGGCGTACAGATTTTGATGGCCTTGCTGTCGAAACAGGACAACTCTAGAACAAGGTTAAGGTGATGTCGACCACATAAAGTACATTCAGGAAAAAAGCCTATTGAATCCTGAAACCTTCTCCTCCCCAAGTGACCACATTTTCTTCCTTTCAAGGACTGTCTTTATAGGTAGACTGTGAATAGACTTCCTGCATTTTGCCCTAGTTAATTCCCTCTTTTTCTTTTTTTTAAAAAAGGAGTAACTTGTCATAATCTGAGCTGTGACCCCACTGCTGGATTGGAATCAGCCACATAGTCCCTGTAGGTGTTATCTTTGATCATCAACTACGTGGATTAAACAGAGAACCACAGCTTGTCAGCCGGTGCAGAGTATTTGTCTCAAGTAGTAATTGACTGATCAAACTGGCATAGGCCTACTTTCTGACAGCATTGTTTCAGTTCCATTTCCTCTCTCAAGGGACTGACTGGGCCGGTCCGGGTCATTTCAAACATAGCAAAGTCTCTTCTTCTTGTTGCCTCAATATTATCACACTGAGGAAAATAACAGATTTACTTTGAGCAATGCAAACTAATACTGATTTGCCTTCAGTGATGAAATATATATGTGACAGCCTAGAAAGATTGACTTGAAAGTACGTCTCTTCCTCCCAAGATAGAAATTATGATTGTGTATGACTGTATATCAGTACACTGAACAATTTGAGTTATGGTCCAGGGACTTATGTTAAATTCAGGCTTAAAAACAATGTGGTTTACAAATTCTTTCCTTACTTGCCTTACAGTTTTCTTATTCTTTATTATCACCTTGCTATAAATTTCTATGGTGACTTCTGGACAATCTCCAGCCCTTGTACACACACACACACACACACACACCACGTTTTTTACATTTAGCACTAGGAGTTGGGGTACCTATGTATTAGTTTAATTTGTTATGGAAAAGTGCTCTGATGATCCTAAAACATGCTCTTGACACATATAAGACCAGAGACTTTCAGCCACTAAACCTAATTCATCTGCCTCGTTCATACTGGGTTATCATAAATTTAACAAGAAGCCAACCTGGCCACCTTGCCTAGGCAAGAATTATCTCTATACATGTTTAAGGTAAAAATGTTGAGGATTCTTACCGGGCTGCGCCTCTGTGATCAGCAAAAAGGAAGAGAGAACAGACACCTAGTCAGAGAATGATGGATCAGTCAACAGGCTTGGGTAATAGAAGATTTCATAAACAGCTAACTAAACACACACTCCAGGTAATCAGGCCAAAGGAAGACAGGCAGTCATTGTGTTTGTGGCTTATTTAAACCATAATGAGGTTTTGGAGAACCTTAAGGAGAACCTATCCATTGCATAATATAGCTTTGCTAATGAGGATGTACTGGTTTCAGTTATGTGTACATACAGACAAAGCAGAAACATACAAGAAAATTTTACTGATAGATTTAAATGTCTTGTCATACAGAGTTTTTCTTCATATTGTTTGAGGAGGGGAGTTTTAGAAACTGGGTAGTACAGAGAAAACTGTTTCCCCACACAAAAGGGTGTTAGCAAACATCATAGACACGATGCATTTCCCACATAATTCAGGCTTTAATCGGAGCCTCCAAAAATCAGAGAGCAGGATTAGAGACATCTCTTCTTTGCCTGGCTCTTCTCTTTAGTGTTCTGTGGAATGAGTGCGGATGAGGACTTTTTTTAAAGTATATGTTCTTGGCCTGGAGTGATTTGGGCAGCCTCACCAAATGGGTAGAATGTGGTGGGGAAGATAAGGAGCTCCTGACAAGCACAGGTGCGAATGATGAAAATTGTCCAGCACCAATAAAACACTGGTGGACCAGATGATGCCTGGAAAAACACAAAATGCTGACCTATGACTTTTTTCTTTCACTCGTCAAACCTTGATCATGGCTGCTATCAATTTACCCCAACAATCTCTGGTTGCTCTCCCTCTTTGGGATTTTTCTGTAGTAACAAGAGTGACTATGATGTGAGTAGGGAAAGAGCTGTTGCTCAGTTTCTCTTTCAGGATATGGGCTAGCTTGTGAATTCACCAGAGGCTACCTGGGACCCAGTACCAGCCAAATTCCAAAATCCAAGCAAGAAGCACAAACACAAAAGTATCTAGCAGGTTGCTTAAATGAAAAAGATGATTCTACTCTCCATAACATAGACAAGAAATAAAAACCTATAGTCTTTTATACCTACTCCAGTTGATTTTACTTGTAATATTTTAGATATTATTATTTGCCATATTTTTCCAGTTCTGTTCCATACGGATCCCATCTTTCTTATAAATCTGTCTATATGCATGGATGCAATTTAAATGAAATTAGAAAAAGGACACGTTAATATGTATTTCTGGGCTTACATTCTTTTACTGACGAATTCATACTGTGTTTTGAGAGAAATCCAAGCACTCTTTTATATATTTAGACTTTATAATTCTTTAATGACCAGGCTAAAGTTCTTCACTAAAGAAGATGTGGGCATTTATGATTTTGCTTTAATTGCATGGCAAACATTTCCTTCTTAAAAGCAGCATAAAATACAGCAAAGAGGGGATTAAAAGTGACACAATTTCCCCCAAGATGATTATGAGAAATAATGCAAAATAAAATGTGTATTGCAACCATATAGAGGCAGAACCTTAAATTCAATAAACTTTGTTAAGATTATAGAGAACAACACTGTTCAAAATAATTTCAATTATATAAATTCACGCAAATTAAGTCCAGTGAATTAAAAACCTATATATTTTAATCAATATTTCCTGTTTGTATTTTTTCTAGTAAAAGATAACATGAAAAAAAGGAACATCAAGGAACATCTGTTGAAATTCATGTAGTCACAGGCTTATTAACCAAAAGCCAGAAGACCCAGCTAAAAGCTATGGAAAGGTCAGACCCAGAAAACCTCAAGGTCCACAATTAAAAGTGATCTGAAACCTGCAAAATAAAAGGAATTCCAGAAGTCAAATTGAAGGGCTTTCTATACACTAATTATCACCATTAAGGAGCATAAAGCAGTTGTAAGTTCTGCTGAACACGGACAGCAAAATCATTACCCGCCAGGAGGGGAGAGCCTTTCCTTTTAAAAGTTTTATTTTACTCTTTCTCCTGTCATTTCCCAGGAACTTTGAGGCCTTTAGCATTCTATCTTTGTTCTACCGATGTATAGAATTTGCTTCAAAGGCGGAAGGAAACATTCAGTATCTGATCTTGATATATTCTGTAAGCTGAACACTCTCCATGTTAAATCACAAACTCAAAAGCTTGCAGGGCAAGGAGCAGGGGCGCTGTGCACGAGGGAATGAGAGTTTCACAAAGCTTTGGTGAAATGGCCACAACTCAGGGGCCCCATGCTTGCAGCACAAAAATATGGGCCTAATGCTGCCAGATCTTCAGAGTTGTCAGAGAAGACGCATATCTTGATTTTTTTTTAACTTCAAAGACTCTGGCTTTTAAATGGCATTAAAATTGTTTTTAACTGCACGACCAAACAAAACATCTATTCAGTTGTTCAGAATCTGCAGGTGGCCAATTTATCTCTGATTGCAGACATTTGTATCACACATAATAAGCTCTCAGCAAGTTTTTTTTAATCTACTGTTATTATTATTTCACCTGATTACTCAAACAGGGATTTTGCAATTGGTCTATTTGTTTTCTGAACAAATTTCTTGTGTTCCTAATTAAACATTAATTGCTCAATTCCTTGACTTCTCTTGACCTTCTGATGCATTCTGGAGAAGGTATTGAAAAACATTTTATTATCCCCTCTATTTTTATCTTGATGTTCAACTTAGAGATAAGTCTTAGCTTGTATTTTGAGGCTATTTTCAAAGTGGGTATGATTTGGTCACTAGAATGAAGATCTTCGGTCAGAACATTTTGCATTTCTAAAATTTATATACTTGGCTATACGAATACGCCTTCCTAAAAGAAAATACTTCAGCAAATGTCCTCACAGCACCCACAGTGTCCTTACCCACACCAGCTTTGTTTTGTTATTTTTCTGCACAAAAGGATTAATTTAAATTCAGCTAAGTAGGCTAACTTAGTCTTTGCCAATGCGGGTAAGTGTTTTAAGATATTTATAGAAAGAAGTAACCAAACACAATCTGTCCGGCTTGTCAAAGTCACTAAATAACCAACCTCAGGTTTTGAAGCTTTACAACATCCTCATTTGCTAAAATTCAGTGCTATAGGGAAACAGAGGAAAATACGTGTAAAGCCACAAAGCACCCAACAAATATTATTTTTATACAGTCTAGTCATAGCAAATTCAGTCATTCATGGTAGTGAATTTTCTAGGAAAGAATTAGAATATATGATGATTATGTTTATTATTATGGTCCTAACCAGTTTCTTGTTTGCTTTCAAATGCTTCAGGGTGAAGATAACCTCTCTGGCAAGCACCTATTTGATGTCCCCACCCCTGCCAACTTTTGTGTTTGTCTATATTTAAATTTGTTCCCATATCTATTACAAGTCAGATGACTGTGAATGCCTGCCAGATCCAATAGGACTTGATAGAGATGATCTTCCGAAATTCCATTTAGGAAGAGACACAAAGAGCCTATTACTAACCAAGATATCACTAAAAGTTGACTGGTTTGAACAGCAACAACGTGGGCATTGCCAAAGAAAAACGAGGCAGGGGAGCAGGAGAAGGACTCATCCTTAGAGGCACAGCTAACAATGCAAAGGAGTACTTGTAGTTGAAATTGCTGTAAGAACAACAGGAGGAAAACCAATGAGGAACAAAGAGTTTTTAAAGCACCACGGATAAATTTCAGACTACGTAGTCCTGTCAATATTTGAAGTGGCCAAATCTGGATAATTCAGAGAAAGATTCAGGGTCAAAGAGAATAAATGAAATAGGCAAAATGCTGTTGGCTGAAAAAAAAAGCACAATGCGAGAGTTGTGAGTTAAGCTTTATTTGGGGCAAAGTGAGGACTATAGCCTGGGAGACAGCATTTCTGATAGCTCTGAGAAACTGCTCCAAAGAGGTAGGGGGGCAGGTCAGTATACATGTGATTTTGATGAAGGGGGAGTACATGCAGTCAGGCACATATTTTTTGCAGAAGGTTGCTGCTAGTCATGAGGAACAGCCATCACCATGAAGGATTTTAGTGCTTTTCTATATACGAAGAGATGCAACAGTTGGGCTCATAAAATCTTCTCCTGAAAATATCTAACCATCTGAAGTTCTGCCAGTTTTTCCCAGAGCACAGATTGCCTCATTCCTGATCTCCACCCTGAACTCCTTTCAGGGAGTGTTGAAGGTCAGCAGCTGCAGTGGCTCATAATTTAATCCTTGTAGAGGTAGATGGAAAGTACCAATTTATAGTTGGCAATACAAAGAAAGGTTGCTGAAGCGCACCAACGATACGTATGTCACATACCATGTGACCCAGAGTTGATTCGCAGTTACACAGAAGTGGGCCATTCAATTTAGTAATAGTAATAGTTACAATCGTACTTATTTTATTTTTGGAAGCAATGTCATTGGGTCCATATTTTGACAAATTGTAATATTTTGATTCTGTCTTTTGTTCTTCCTGTGTCTTCTGTTCTTCCTTCCTCAAAAAATCACATGAAATTGTTACCAGTACATTTCCTGCATGTGGTACAGAGACTGCCAGGCTTGGGTCAATGGGCAGGATGGGAGGTTTAGCAATAATTACAGCATCCACTTAGGTGAGGTCAACAGACAACCAACTACTTCTCGGTGTGTGTTAACATGGAAACACAATATTTTCATATTTTCCACCGGAGGGGTCACGTGTGTCAGCCATGCATTAGCATCCTGGGAACATGTTCCCATAAATTAGGCAGCTGAGACAAGAACAGTGCATTTTTTTTTTTTTTTTAGTAGATCTGTTTCATTGCTGCTCTTAAAAAAAAAAAAAAAAGATGGAGGTACATCCTAACAGATCTGTACTGCCACTGAAAATCACCCTGGTGTTTAAAAGGACAATGTAAGAGGTATTTTGCACTTTATAAAGATCTTCTTTTTCTGTCTCTGACAACTTCAGAAGGGGATAATTTTTCTGATTAAAATTGAAAAAAAAAAAAGAAGAAAACAAGACAACTTCCCTTTCCTAGGCCAGCTTCACAAGCATCACTCAGGATGCTATCATGTTGTATATTCAAAGAAAATTTAACAAAGAAATGTTTGCCTAGCTCATGGTAGATATATGTAGCTTGACTAACCCAAGTAAGTGGAAGCTGCAATAAATGAAACTTAATACTAAAATATTTGAACATATGCCTGTGATTGAGGCGGAGGTGAATCTTTACAAAATTACCCTGTGGCCCTTAATAACAGGTTTGGAAAATCACTTAGCAACCAGCTTCCTTTTATCCCCATGGGGCATAATTAGACTGTGTCCTGGCTCACAAAGGTTTGTCTTTGAAAGTCAGAATCTTGTTTAGGTGTTGGACACAGTCAGTCATTAGATATGCAGACGATGAGAATGAACAGAGTAAACAACGTTTGGCCAAGATGTAGAAAGGATTTGTTGTTTCTTACCGGACTTTTCCTCTAAAAGCGTAGGCATGAGCAGGAAAAATAAAGAGAAAATGAAAGAGGTGAAATGTATATTCAAGAAGATACCACTCAAGGCTCAGAATAACCTTACTTAAAGCAGCTCTCTAAGGCACGGCTTTTATAAATGCTTCCTGTGGATGTCTGATATAGTCATACCCAGGCTGCCAGCTTTATACCACCCCAAAACATGCCGCTTGGCCATACTGATTGTTTTGAGCTGTAGGCACTTGAAAACAGCAAAATCAGGAGAGACTTTCTATGAACAACCCTAATCTGCCTAAACATAAATCTTCCAATTGTCATAAGGGTTTCACCAACCGGGAAGGACTGACTCAACATAGGAGTGGAGACCAGAAATCAACACCATGCCCAGACAAACTCTGTCACAAACTATCATATTTCCCATCTATGCTTCCAAGGGTCCATTCATCTTCCCTAAATTACTCTCCCTTAAGAAGCCTCCATCCCTCTCCCTTTTCCCTGTTAAGACGGTATTTAATCCTGAATTCTGAAGACACCTCTTCGAGTTACTCAATTTTCCTGAGTGTTTGCCAGGTATACAGGAATAGACATGTTAATAAACTTATGCTCGTTTTCCTCTTGTTAATTCTGTCTTTTTGCTGAAGAGTCCCAGCTGAAAACCTAAGACGGGTTGAGGTAGTTTTGCCTCCTGTCCAAGTTCAAGTGATAGAGGACATAGGTGTGGTCTCCATTTGAGCACATTCTAAGCTCTCTTTTGAATGGTTTACTTTTATCAAATAGATTTGTACTTTCAAAACAGAGAATTATGCTTTGTAATATTGAAAGGAGCGGGAAAATTCCATGAATGCATTGCAGCCAAGCATGAAACTAAAATGTGAGATTTTCCCAAAATTCTAATCTTGTCAGGGAACCTGGTACCTAATATCTTCTCCCAAGATACTCTGGCTAGAACCATCAGTTCTTCCATACCATCCTTCATTTGTCCCCACCCCGCATTGGGCAATGACAAATTATTTTCCTGGTGAGTGGTCCCTGGCCCCTGGGAATGCTCTTTTCTTTCCTCCACAACTGCCTTAATGAGGGCTTCATTTCTTGCTGACAGTAGTACTCCACCAAGCTCCTCCATATTTCATCTCCTAAATCCATCCTTTGTACCATCCCTAGAATTACTTTCCAAAAATAGTGAAGTCAATGTATTACTCTGCCCTGCAAAAACCGCTCTATTATTCAGAAAATAGAATGCAACCTCCATTCTGTAATTTAATGCCTTTGTGATGGGCTTCATCTTACCTTCACTCCCTCGTCTTCCACTGTTGTCTGTATGAAGCCTACACTTAGCTGCTGACACTCCTTCTCGTCTCCTGAACTTGTAGTACACTCACACTTCCCTGCCTTCTGCTCAAGCTGCTTCTTCAGCCTTGATGCCTTTTCCCTCCCTCTCAATTACCATCTTACTTATTCTTCAGGGCCAGTAACATTTCCTCTATGAGGGCCTTCCCCAAGGGCCTTTCCAATTAGAATAAATTGTTCCCTGGCATTTATTAGCCTCAGAGAAAACAGAGGTACAAACGGGTAGTATACATTTTTGCAGTTCTTATTTTGTTCTGTATTATTTAGATGTCTCCATTCGATTATTAGCTCCCAGTAATGGTTATGAATAACCTCTGTCTAGCCCCAAACAGAGTGCAAATCACACAGTAGGCACTCAAAGCATGTCTATGAATTTTATTTTTGTGGTCATTAAAACATTATACAAATGTTTGAAGCATAGTGTCTTTTAAAATATAGAAAGATGGGGGGCTTCCCTGGTGGCGCAGTGGTTGAGAGTCCGCCTGCTGATGCAGAGGACACGGGTTCGTGTCCCGGTCCGGGAAGATCCCACATGCCGCGGAGCGGCTGGGCCCGTGAGCCATAGCCGCTGAGCCTGCGCGTCTGGAGCCTGTGCTCCGCAACGGGAGAGGCCACAACAGTGAGAGGCCTGCGTACCACAAAAAAATAAAAAATAGAAAGATGAATTGCTCTCTGAAATAAGGCTGAATTGTATATAATATATAGCCCAAGGGATATGGCCCCAGTTGTAATGGTTCCTTCACCAGCTCCTATAAATGTGTCACTTAGCTCCTATTTAACTGTTGATCTTTCTGCCCATTAGTGACCTCAGGGGCTGATATGTGTTACCAAGGCTCCAAGGAATTGGCACAGCTTTGCACAAACACTGGTGTAGAGCTATGTGATCAGCTCTCAATGCTCTCCTATAGCAAAAAGAAAACGAGTGTTTCAGCATAACTGAGGCTCAAGATAGGGCCCACATCCTAGGTGCTGCTTTCAGACCCAGACCCTTGCGAAGTAGCACAGAAAAATGAAAATGCTTAAGGTCCAGGTCCTCGATTTACAAACAGAAAGAATTTTGGGGTTAAAATCAAATAGCTTCAAAGAAGTTGTCATGGAAGGAGGTGCAAAAGTTTTTATATATTCAAATTAGCTTAACCCCTTATTTTCTGCTTGCTTTTGCGCAAGACATACTGTTCCTCAGTTCCATAGGCTGTAAAGTAGGGATGATTGCTATCTTATAGAACAGTTGTGAGGATTAAAAGATATGGATGATAGAGACAGATAAAATTCAATGAGAATTTACTATTATTGTTTTACCTTATGAGGTTGGTGTCATTATTATTTCTAATTTACCAGTGAGGAAAAGGAAGGTCAGTTGCGTTCCAAGGTCACGTGGTTACAAAGGATGAGAGTGGGACTAGATCCCAGCTTGTCTAACTCCAGAAAGCCTGGGCAGGGGTGGGCTCATGGCACAACCCAATTCCCCTGGCCCTTATCAGCACTGGGATTTAGAAACAACAGAGCTAATAGCTTGCAGATCACAGAGCCTGGAAAATAATCTTGGAGTTTTCCAATGGAAGGAGTTAAATAGGTCATGCCTGTCTATCATAGCAGGTCACAGGGAATGAACTTTTCAGAGAGTGAGCTTGTATTTTTAGGCATGGTGTCCGATCTTAGAATTAAACTCTGATTATACAGGTACATTTCTCAGCCTCTTTGTAGAATTAAGTGCATTTTATTAAATTAGAATCAGAAGAATAAACATGAACACAGGAGTGACAAGGGCCCTCCCCTCCCGCCCACTCCAGGCTAGAAGATGATTAAACCATCTTTATTCAATATGTTGTTTTAATTGTTAGCAGCTATCAACACCTAGGCTATGGCCGTTTGGCTTAAGGGTTTCTTCAGAATGTTAAACAACCAGAGATAAAACACGACAAGACAATTCTCCTTTGGGGAAAGCAAATATATTTCTTGATTTAAAATGAACTAATAGCATCAGAGTGATTTTTAATTATGGAAAAGATAATAAAAGAAACAAAAAAAAAGACATGTATACCTCCAGGTACTCGTGTTCACAGAAACAAAGTCAGTGAATTTTTGGATTGAACGATATATATACCTAAAATATAACCACTGTCTCTAAGTGCAGGGATGTTCCTGTCCTATGGCCTGAGATAACATAATTCTCCAATTTGCAAGCCTTGTTGAAAGGTAGTTCATCCCTATGATCGAGGAAGCTTTCCAAGGAGCACACAGACCCCTGCCCTCTGTGGATGGAGTCTCTCTCTGGCTGCATTATCCTAAATCACTTTCTAATGCAAGTAGTCATTCAAGTTAGGGCTTGTTGAAGCCTTCATTCTGCACGAAGGGCTAGAAATCTGCAGCATTTAAAACTGAATTCTGTTGGAGACCCAGACCAAAGCTAACTGAGGTGAATAGAGAAAATATACACCAGAGTTTCAATGATCCTTACATGGAGATTTTGTGCTCTAAATACACCCCTGTCCTCTGGACAAGGAACTGAGCTGCCATGGGAATTTTTGGCATCAAGTTTCATAGAGTGGGATCAAGACACAAAAAGCCAGATCTAATTTAGAAGCTTTTTAAGAGTCCACAATTGTTTAACCTTAAAAATAGGATAGCTATATTTTGAGTCTATATTTTAGCTAATGAGATTTTTTATAGATATAACCACTTCCTATCAGTTATGTATGAATAGTCAGGTATTCACAAGGAGCAAAAGGATTATTTACTCATTTATTAAACCAGTAACTGATATTTATTGGGTACCTCATAAAGACCAGACACTATTCTTGGTACCTTGGTGAACAAAACCATAGGAACAACAAACAAAAAACTTCAATGAGCTTTTTGGGGGGCAGGGGAGGAAATAGATAATAAATAATGAATATAATAAGTAAGCAAAGTATTTAGTATTTTAGAAGATGATAAATGCAATTTTAAAAAGTAGAAAAAATATAAGGGTTTGGGAATACCAGGGTAGAGAGTTTTGTGATTTTAAATAAGATGGTCAGGAGAGGCCTCACTGAGAAGGTGACTTGAACAAGCATCGAAAGCTGAGAGGGAGGTGGCAGTGCCAGTATCTAGAGGAAGAGGGCACAGCCAGGGAGCTGGGAGGGGTGGTGTGAGAAGGAAGAGTGGCAGGTGTTAGTCTGGGGTCGTGGTGTCCCCACCGTGAGGGTCTTGAAGACCAATGTGAAGATTGGCTTCGCTCTGCTCCCAATCAGGAGTTCTCAGCATGGACGTTTAGTCACTCTTGGTTGCTGAGAAGAGGCATTGATGAAACAGATGAAACAAGACCAGAAAATGCCTGGATGTGACATATGTTGTTGTTTTTCACTACTCTTTGGAAGCTTCTTTTGATTCCCCATGTACCTGCTAAAAATAAAATAAAATAAAGATGGGCTTCACACAGGCTGGGAGGTAGAAAGAGAGTTTCAACTGGGCAAAACAGAATGAGACCAGTCCATCTTGCCTTCCCTCTGTGTCGGCCACTTCAGGAGGAGCAGCTCAGACTGGCGTGCACAGCTCTGTACCACAGCTGTGCTGGTGGCTGATTTGAAACAGTAGTTCTTAAGGTCCAGTTAGTGGCTGTCCTTTAGATAATATAAGAGACAGAAGGAAACTTCACCTTCATTCTGTTTAGAAATGAAATT